TTCGGGACTCCATGCCCCCCCCCCCCGCCCGCTCTCACCCGTGGGTCGTCTGCCTCCAAAGGGAAGGGGGGGGGCCCTCCTCGGCCCCTTTTATGTCCAGGGATTGTGTATGTGTGTGTGTGTTTGGGTGTGTGTGTCTAGCGACCCAGCTGATGTGCTTTCCTGGCACCTGGCCCCATTGCCATGGTAACAGTAGGTATTTGTGCTCTAGCAGGATATTGCTTTCCTTACACTCTTCCAGTTCCATTCTTTTGCACACAGAAAAGCAAGTTTTAAAAAAAAATAGAAAGCTGCTGGAGAGTTGAGAGGGATGCCCAGTGCATGCAAAACATTCCCCCCTCCTCTTCCCCCTCCCCGCCTTCCTCTGCAGGCTGGTGGGGAAACTGGAGGGCACCCCCTCCTCCAGCAGCTTCCACCAAGTAGGGCACTCCGTCCGGGGCCCCTTGCCTTCTCCCCCCTCCCCTCCTCCCCCCCCAGGTGGCCAGGATGGCTCCCGTCCTCTGCAGTGCCCGTAGGGGGACCCCCCTCGCACCCCCTCTCCCTTTCATGGGGCTCTGCAGGAGCTTTGGGCTGCCTCTCTGGGAATGTGTGTGTGTGTGGGAACTCTGACGCAGTGGCCGGAGGTCAGCTGGGGGTTGGCGGAGGCACTCTGGGCAGTGCCCGTGGGCCTCCTTCCCCTCGGCCCTTGCGCAGAGCAGGGCCTTGGATGCCGTGCCCCCCATGGTGTGGAACGGAAGGCGCTTCCCTCTCAGCGTGGCAGAGGCTCTTAGAGCTGTGGGTCCCGGTTGAAGTGGGCCTTTACCTTACCGACGTTAGAAGTTAATGGCTAGAAGTCCCGTTTCCAACGCACGTCAAAACCAGCCTTGGCCCATTTCAGTCAGCAGAGCTTGAAGGGGGTTGACTCGCCGGATCTCTGCTGATCTTGTGGGTGCTCAGCCCGTGTGCGGGTCACAGCCTGCCTGTTGTGCACGTTTTAATCTTAAGGGGAGCAACTTTGAGACGTTCACCCCTGAGCGCCCTCGGAGAAGTACAGTCCTGGCAAATAAGTAGTACATGAAAAGGATCACAACTTTTTCTAGGTAGGGGAGGGGGGGAACAGCATCGTTCTGATCCAGAAGGGGTTGCCCAGGTCACGGGACCTTCGCTTCCCTGGCCCTGGGCTTCCCTTCTGGGCTTGACCGAGCACTGGTAGTCCTCTAGACAGGGAGGGGGTTCCGGTTTACATCATCCCCAACGGGCGGTGCCAGGGATGATGGGGGTGGCTGTCTGCCCCTACTTGGCAAGGGGGCGAGCGCTGCCCACCGGGCCCTGGGCCAGAGGGGGGTCATCTCTGAGGTCAGGGGCAGGCAGAAGGGGGTGGTGGTGGTGGTGGTGGTGTTGGAGTTTGGGGAGCCTCGGCCCCATCCGGGTCTCTTGTCCTGATTCCAGGTCATCCTGAAGGACTTGGAGGTCTTGGCTGAGATTGCCTCCTCTCCAGCCGGACAGACGGAAGGCCAGGGGCCGGCCGACGGCGCTGAGGGCCCCTCCGGACATCTGGAGCTGCCCCTGCCCGCCCCGCCCAAAACCGCTCCGGCCGGTTCCTCCGGTAAGTGCCTTGGGCTTTGGTCACTCACGGGCCTCGATCCGCGTGGGGGTGGTTTTCTTCCCTGGCCCCTGAGGCCACAGGGACCGGGTGGCTGCCATCCAACAGAGGCGGGCCGGCGACCCTCCCGGAGGAGCGAACCTCGGTTGGGGCAGCAGGTTTTTGGAAGGTGGTCCTGCCCCAGGAGGCCCCTGCCTGCCGCCTGGCCCAGCCGTTCAGCGGCCGCAGGAGCCGGTTCTTTCAAGGGTTTGCTGCACTTCTGCTGCTTGTGATCCAAGGCTTTTCGGTGGGGGGGGGCAGAAGGGGGTTGCCTGTTTTGTTTTGACCTGGTCAGAACCATGGGAGGTGGGAGCAGGGGCCCCTCGAGTCCAGCGGCAGGAGTTGTCCAAGGGGAAGCTTTCTGGGGGACCCTGACCGCTGGAGGGACAGACGCCTCCTCCGTGGATCTGGTAGCTTGGATCGGCCCTGATCTCCAGAGCCCGGCCGTGGCCCTTCTGGCTAGAGAGCAGGGTGGAAGCCCTGCCTGATCTCTTCTCGGCTGTAAGCGGGGGAGGAGAGCTTCTCCTCCTGTCTTCTGCTTTCCTCCCAGAGGCCTGATTACTCTTTCCCCTCAGCCGGCCGCCTACGCCCACCCCCGGAATCCTGTGACTGGATCCTTTGGTCACGGGAGAGCCGCGCAGGCCAGCGGGCAGACGGGCCGGGTTCAGCTGCCAGCGATTCATCACGTCTGCGCTGCGCTGGCCTCCGTCTGCAGGAGGAAGGGAAACAACCCCTGCCATTTTTGAAAGGTTCTAAAGAAATCTTTCCCAGTCCTTTTAAAGTGAAATCCTAGATTCATAACTTCTCCCTAATTTCTGCTGTTTGTGAATTTAGAGCATGGAGGGGTTGGAACTAATTGTCTGTGCCTGGCCCCCGAAGCAGCCTCGGCCCCCACCAAGGCCCCCCTCCCCCGGCTGTCCAGAGAGTTAGCCCTTGGCCCTTCCGGTGTCTTCCCAGAGGCCCCAGCCTGCCTGGCCGGTGGTCAGGGATTCTGTGGGGCTGACGTGCAAAGCGTCGAGTGGGGCGGTGCTGGGCATCAGGGACTACACCAGGGGGCAACAACATTTTAAACCAAGGCACCCCTTTAGTGTGAGCCAAGAGAAACACATCTCACGGTGGTGTCTTAATGCAAACACCCACTGGCTTTGCTCTGGGCCAAACCAGCGCGTCCGCCCCGAACCAACCCTGCGTCTTTCCTAGAAGTAGACCCCCTCCCCCAAGGGAGCCGAGCAGGAGGGAGGGAGAGGTGGAGGGGGGAGGCTGTGCCGGGGGCAGGGCTGGGGAGCCTGGGCAGCCACCCCAAACCATTCGGTGGCCTTTGTGAGTTGGGGTGGTGCAAAAGGGGCCGTGGTCTCCAGCTTTGAGGCAGGCAGCCTCATCTTTCCAGCAAGGGGGGTGGGAGGATTGTCCTCCCCCCCCCCGTTCACCCCCAGGGAGCTGGCTCTTTGGTGAATGCCCCTGGACCGTCCCGGATCCAGTCCTCCCGAAGCTTCCTGCCTGACCCTGGGATTGAAAGCTTCCCCATCCTAATCTGGCGCTTCCTCCGCTGGGCCCCCCGCCACCCACCCTGGTCGCCTGGGGGGGGCTTGTTCGACAGGATTTGGACACCTCCTGGGGGGGCTCAGGGGCAGCAGGACAGACGCCTTTTGCCATGAGCGAGGACAGCGGTCCCCTCCTCAGCCTTGTCCTCCCTCGGAAGGGCAGAGGTCGAGGAGAGCCCGGCAGCCACGGAGAGGAAGGCCACGTGGTGGAGCCCCCAGGCTGCTGCTCCCTCTGGCACCTCTCTGCTTGCACGCCAGGCTCCTGTCTGCTCACCAGACGGAGGGAGGGAGGGAAGCTCAAGACACACACACACACACGCACACATGCATTTCCTTTTGTGGGGGGGGACGAGGGAGTGTCGGGAGCCTGCCAGCTTGCAGTGCCCCACCTTTCGGTTTACAGGGTGCATGTGCAGCTGGAAGAGAGCGCCGCGCCTTGGGTGGGTCGGGAGCCTCCGTCTGTGTGTGTGTCTGTCTGTCGGGGAGATGGTCTGGGTAGAGGGGCTTCTGCGGAGCTGGCCAGGCAGCTGCCGAACTGTGCTTTGGGTCTGTTCCTTCTCTGTGCACAGTCTAAAAATAGCCGTGCTGTTGTGGCCTCTCTCTTAGAAGCCGGTGTAGCCTTTGGACTGCCGTCCGGGCTTGGCCTTTTGTTGCCAGACCGCTTGATGAGAGACGAGAGGGCTTGGGGAAAAATGGGAGTTGCTCACATGCCAGCTGCTCCTTCATCCCAAGATAGCTCTCTCTCCTTTTTTTTTCGGGGGGGGGGGCGGAGAGCCCTTTGTGCATGAAAAGAGCTGTTGTATTTGCAACAGGTCCCCAAACATGCCCCCCACCTAGAGACTGGTGCACCCATGGGAAGCCCAGGGTCCAGAGAGAAGCTGCCCCCAGGGAAGCCAGCCGGCTGCCCATGAGGACCTTCCTGGTGAAGCCCTCTGGGGGGGGGGTCGGTCTGGCTGGGCTGGCCACGGTTGCCCCAGGCTATTCCGTAGGAGGGTCTGGTCCTCTTCAGGGCATTCCAGCCACTTCATAAGTGGAAGGTGTGGTGGGCAGTGGAAGGAAGGGTCCAGGGATGGGGGAGACCCCCCCCCAAGCCTACAGCTCCCCTCAGGTCTTGTTGTTGCCTGAAGGAGAAAATGTGGGTGGTGTTTTGGGGAAGGGGAGAGAAAGGCTGAGACGCAGAAGGGGTAATGGTTGACAGGATCCTAGATCCGGATCGGGCACAGGAGCCTGTGCGGCGAGAGGGGCTCGGGGGCCATCCGTGAGCCTCCTCGGTCGCCACAGACGGCCCAGCCACCTGGAATCCCAGCCTTTCGGCCGCAGGGCAAGCAGCAGCCTAGCCTCCCGGTTAGGACAACCGAGGGCCACGGCGGTCACGAAGAATAGCTCCCTGCGGTCTCTAAAGCGCCACCTAGTTCTGTGTTTACAGGATGGGTGCTAAAATCTGATGTGGTTTCGGGGGGGGGGCTCCCGATTTCCCTCTGGGTTTGATTGATAGTTTGATGGCCGGGAGGTCTTGTGGGTGGCGGCCTCCTCCACGTCAGAAGCAGCTGCTGGGCGGTGTGTGTGTGTGTGTGTGTGTGTGTGTCAGTGTCACACTCTTGCTCCTCCTGCAAACCCATGACTTTGAAGAAGAGAAAGACGAGGCAGCTCCGCTTGTGATCTTGACATCCTCGGGCAGGCGGGCCATCGGGCGCTGTCAGATCAGCTGCCTTGTCATGTGAGGGTGGCCTCGGCCGGAGGAGGGGAGGCAGAAAGCTTGGGGAGCAGATGATGGTCTTGGGCGAGCCTCTCTCTGCCCGCTGGAACACACTGCCTCTAAACATAGGCCTCCTGCAGGGGCTGGAAATCTGCACGGTTGGAGGGGTGTGTGTTTCGTCCTAACAATTTGGACAGAGGTCGGGCCTTCCCAGATCCCTCTTGAAATGCTCCCAGTTGTTGCATCTCATCATTTGAAATGGTGAAATCCAAAGGAGGCGGAGGAGGGCCGGGTGTGTGTGGTGGGAATGAAGCCACCGATCCCGGGGCCTTAGCTGTTGGGAGGGGGGGCTCCTCCCAGGATGTCCTTGCCCCATGGAGACGAGGCAGCCACCTTTTCTGGGGGCCGTGGGGGGAGCTGAGGGGGCTGGCGGGTGTCGCCAAGCCAGCCCCCTGGCTAACCTGGATGTCGGTGGGGACCCTAGGCTGGTGCAGAGCCTGGAGGCCTGTTGGGTGGGGGGGGAGACCGTGGCAGGCTCTCGCCCTTCTCCTGCTGGAGGCTGAAATGCCATTTTGGGGAGGACGCCTCTGGCATCTGGCCGCAAACAGGCCCTTTCTGTCCCTCTCACGTTGGCCGCCTCATAAACAAAAGAAAAAGCAAAGAGGCAGGCATCTAGGCAGGCCCGCAAAGGGAGAGAGCAAAAGATGAAAGATGGCGGTCCACTTGAGGGCCCCCTCGGAGGTGGTCCTGTGTGCCTCTCCGCCTGAGAGGAAAAAAATGGAGGCGGGCAAAGAACCGAGTGCGAAGGCAAGATGGCAAAGTGGGGGATCATCCTGCCGGAGCCCGACGGGTGGAGAGAGAGCCACCGGAGGGAAGAAGCACTTACACCTGGCACCGCCACGGAGGCCTCCTAGCTGCCCAAGTGCCCCCGGTGGGGTGGAAGGCCCTGGGCGCAGACCCCTGGGCCGCGGGGAAGGTCAGACCATTGATCCTTGGGGAGGCCGGGGGGGGCACTGTTGGGGTGCCCGCCATCGAAAGATCAGCTTGCAGGGAGACAACAGGGCCTCCGTCCAGCGAGAGACAAGGAGGTCTGTCCCTTTTTTTCCCCCCTTCCCAGACCTCCACCAGCCTTCATTTCCGGCAGCTAGGCTGCAAGAATCTTTGTTCATTCCTGCACAGAAATGTGTACCTGCTTTGGCAGGGACTTTCCCCTAATACGTATTCTTGGGTTATGTCCCCCTTAACATGTACAGGTGAAGACATTTCCCCCCCCCCCCCCGCAGGGCCTGGAAAACACACACGTCGTGCGAGGGAGCGGGAAGTGGCCCAGAGACTTGGGTCCGCAGTTTTGCTCCTCAAAAAAGGGTCAGGATGGCAAAAGGGTCTCCTTGAATGCCAGTTCCTTTCCTGCTCCTGCTTGGGGGTCCCCACCCCACCCTGTTCCTCTGTGGCAGGGCTCCCTGCCTGACCTGCCAGGTGGGGTGTTTGGGGGGGGGGAAGAGATGCCTTGGTTGGGAGGCCAGGACACTTGCCGCAAAGCGGCAGCCCGTCCTGCCTCTGGCCGGAGGCTCTCCGTGTTGGGCGTTCCTTGCCTGCATTTTCCGCCTTCCGTTTGTTCTCTGAGCAGCAGCAGCAGCAGCAGCTTCTTGGGCGTTTGGCCCGCTCGTGGTCTCTGCCTTTCGTGGGTTCTTCTGGTCCTGTAAGTGGAGCAGGGCTGTGCGAGACCCGGGCCGCTGGCCAAGGAGACTGCCTTCTCCATCTTAACATCTGTTTTGGTGTGGGTCTGTTTTTGTTCTTTGGGCCGGTCTATTTTTAACTTGCCATGTGATGTTCTCTTTATGTCATATTTACAAAAGCCGAAATGCAAAACATATTGCAGTGTCTTGTGGGGAAATGGCTTTTGCACATGAGGTTCCACTTAGCAGCCCCCGTCTTCCCTGGCAGCAGCAGCAGCAGCAGCCCCCGCGTGTCTGGCTCTGCTCGAGGCTGGCTCTCGCTGTGATCTGGATGTGGGAGGGCCCGTCTCTTGCGGCCGTGCAGCTTCGGGCTCTCTGGTTTCAGGACCTAGACAGGGGTGCGGCAGAACCAGGCGGCCCCGGCACACACCTTTCTTCAGCCCCCCTCCTCCTCTTTCTCGGGGCTCCCTGCATACAGCCTGCCTTCCCCCCCCCCGCATGGAATTTCCAAGGGGAGGGGAAGGAGTCCTGAGCAGGGGCTCTGCTGATCTGCCCTCCCAAGACCTGTGGGCAAGGATTGCTCAGAAAGGCTGAGAGAGATGGGGTGGATGATGCCTCTGTCACCCTGTCCGTGGCATTGCCGCCTACCTCTTTCTCTCCCGTGGCACCACGTGGGCAAAGGATGTGAGGGGAGAAAATACAGTGTTTTAAAATAGCCTCCTCTTGGAAAGAGTCATTCAGGCAGGTGGTGGAGGGAGGGAGGACTGAGACGGAGGGCTGGAGAGGAGTCGCTTCAGGGCCAGTGAGCAGCTGCAGGGTCGGTGGCCGTGGGGGGGGGGGTCCGTCCCATGATAACCAGCCTCCTGGTCTGTCTAGTTTGGGGCCTGGAAGGGCCCTGCGTGGCCTAGAGAAGGAGATGGGCTGTGAAGGGCCCTGATGACCCCGGGGAGGCCTCGAGGGCAGGTCCGCCTGCCTGCACCCTCCTTGGCTGGGCCGGGCTGAGCTCTTCTCTGCCAGAATCGTTCCTCTCCAACTTAGCGACACGCCAGGAGCCGGTGTGGGGAGGACGGGTGCTTGGTCTGATGGGAACGCCTGTTCTCTCTCCACCTGAGGGAATCCTCCGCTTTGCAAGTCGCCGGATAAATGCCTTTGCTCCGTCGTGTTTGCCTCGCACCTCTCCTGCCTTGCGACTATTCTTGAACATGCCAATAGCCAAGCACGTTTGATGGCCGCATCTTAGCATGTGGGAGTGGGCGAGCCAGCCGTCCGCGGCAGAAGCGTGCCAGCCAGATCCGGGAGGTGTGTGGGATCTCGTGGCAACCCTGTCGCCACGGCTTCTCTGTTGTTAATTCATTGAATATTATCTGTGGAAGAGGAAATCAACGCGTAGGACGTGGGAAGTCTAATCGGTGTTGAAAGTCTGTGGCAGAAACATGTGCTTCTGCTCCCTCCCCCTTCTCTCTCTATCTCCTCTCTCGGGTTGTGGAGCCAAAGGTTGGGAGTTTGATTCCACACACACACACCCTGGCCTCTTTGACAGCCACTCCGTCATCCAAGGGGTCCCTTGCAGCTCTGCAGCTCAACGAGGACTATTCTCAGATGACATCTGCCACCACCAAAGTTCTCCGGGCATCCGAAAGGCTTCAATCCATGAGGCTGCGATACGTTCTTCTTCCCAGCGTCCAGGGCGCAACCCTCCCTTCTTGGGTCTCCCCTCGCTTGTTCTGCAGCCGTTTTTCTTGCCCAGCCGCTGCACCAAACCAGCTCAGCCGCGGACAGAGCAAGCTCTGGCTCCCGGGGCGGGCATTTTCGGTTCCTGCTCTGCTGGAAGTGGGTCACTCTGCAGCAGCTTGGCTTGGAGGCTTTCGCTTTTAGTCGTTGCATCAAAACTTGGAAGCAGCCCAATATAACTCGTGTCATTGCCCATCATTTTTTATTTTCCGGCTAAAAGGGAGGCTAAGCTCACTAGTTTTGTTGGCAACAAATAAGCACCGTGTACTGGTTATTCTGAATGTTGTTTTGGAGCGATGCTCTGGCCCATTTTTCACAGGCTCAGGTTGCGTCTGAAACATGGATGAACCAGTGGGTTCGATCTTTAGCTCTACAGGCCCAGTTGACAGACCCCTCCCTGGAAGAGTCCTTTGCTGTGGCTGCTCGTTGTTCCTCCCCCGTCCTCTGCAAGGTTTGCCTGTTTGGGCCTCTTTGGGCTCAAGAGCTCACCTGAGTTTTCCATTCCCCCGTGAGTCCTCTCTTGCTCTCTTTCTGCCCCCCTTTTCCACCATGCCAACCAGTATGAAAAGACGGAGAGAAAACAGTTGGGGCTGTCTCTCAAGAGCTTTGGGATGGAGAGGCCCACGTTCAGAGGAGGAAAGCCGGCCCCGGCCACCTCGAGCCCATGGAGAGGGCCTTGCCTGGAGCTGGCCACGGGACGGGTGGCCCTTGGGGCTCCAGAGGCCGCTTTGCCTGCCCTCTTCCTCCCCTGACTCTCTCCCGGTGTTCCTTCCAGGCGCCAAAGGCATGGAGTGTTCTCCCTCAACACCCACCATGAACTCCTACTTCCACAAGTTCATGATCAACCTGCTCAAGAGGTTCAGCAGTGAGCGGAAGCTGCTGGAGACCCGCGGAGCCTTCATCATCAGGTGAGACGCGACCTCTCCTTGCTCTCCTTCGGTCCTTAAGCCTCCCAAGTGTCGATGTGTGTGACGAGGTATAGATCTGGTGCCGGCTCTCGGAATGTCCTGAAGCTTTTCCCCTTGGCCTTTGGAGGCCGGAGAGCGCACCGTCCCACCGGCTTCAGTTCTGGCCGCTTACCTCGGTCAGGACAGAGCTCGCCAAGAGCGGCCTCTTTGCAGGCCTGCCATCCGCAGGAGCCTGGATTTATAGCTCGCTAGAACAGCTTCTCATTTGTCCTCCAGTCCCCGAGAGAGGGGTGGCGTTGCTCCTTGGAGACGGCCCAAGGGGCTGAGCTCTCCGGGAACAGGGGGCCCTGCGTGTGCCCAGTGGCTCCCAGCTGAAGTTCCTGGCGATTGGCTGAGGGGAAGGATGCTACTGTTTCCGTTTTGCCCAGGAAATGCTTCTCCTTCCAGCCTCTGCCCCCACCCTTTGGTGGGACGGTCCAAGCCGTTTTCCAGAGGGCACGCGCAGTCTGTCTTGAGATCCTACTTGCTGTGCGTAGGACTGCAGAGACACCCGAAAGGAGGGCAGGCGGCCGGGATCCTACTTGCTGTGCGTAGGAGAGACACCCGAAAGGAGGGCAGGCGGCCGTACCTGGAACCGGTGGCTGTCTGTCTGGTCTTTCGGTCTCTGGTTTCCAAACACAAACCCAGCTGCCCTCCTGTGCACTTCTCCCTTACAGAATGGGCGCCATGAAGGAAACCCATGGGAAGGCGCTCTCAGGACCCTGTGTGTGTGTGTGTGCACGCGCATGCGCCCCTCCTTCTTAGGAGATGCACGCGCGCATGCGCCCCTCCTTCTTAGGAGATGCTCTAGAACATCCTTCAGGCTGGTTCTCACTTGTGTGGGTGCTGAGGGCCAGTCATAGGACCCCAGCTGAAGGTAAAGCAGCCGGGGGTGTGCCTTTCCCCCTCCCCCTTCCCGTTGTTTGATCTCATATGAAGTTGAAATAGGCTAGACGGGCTCACTGTTTGGATGGCAGAGAAGTCAGTAGCTGAGGATGATGATTCAGGGGCCCTTCCCCTTGGTGTCCTGGTGATCTCCATTTGATGGATTTCAACCTTTCTGTGTTCTGTGTGCTGGGATCTTCCTGAAAAGAGAAAAAAAGAAAAAAGGCTTGAAAGGAGGAGGTAAGCCGGTTTGTGCTGAAGCCTTGGAGCAGGCAGGGGCTCCTGTGGAAGTCTTTCTGTGTTGTTTGTGTTGGGGAGGGTAGCCTAGCAGGGATTTAAAGCAGGTCACTGGAAGGTTGGGGAGAGGAGCCCCGAAGGGTGACTTTGACTCCCCCACTTCCACTACAGAGCCTCTGCCGGCCTGGTGGAGAGGATGCCAGGGAAGGGGCGGGACTGGACGCGTCCTCCCTCCCTCCCTCCCTCAGGTGTGTTTCCCCCCCTCCCCTTTAGGCCGCCAGAGTCTTGTGGTGCAGAAGCCTAAAAGGCCGGCAGTGCCTGGTTTGTCTCCCCCCCCCGGCCTTCTCCCCCCCCCCCTTGACTCCTTGTCTGGTTTTTCAGTGAGGGAACCCTGAAGCGCAAAGACCCACCCACGGCCACCCAACCTCCTCTGGTTTCTGCTGTGGTCGGCCAGTCAGGAAACCCTTAAGGGAATTTAGTCGAGATGTGATGTAGTGGATAGAGTGATGGATTCGGCCTCTGGAGAACAGGGTTCAAATCCCCACTCTGCCATGGAAGTGAACCGGGCATGGAATTGTTAAAGTCACTCCTTAAATAACTCACTTACTTGAAAATCTTATTAGGGTCACTAGAAACCGGTTCCCACTTGGCAGCACATAAATGCATTTCAAATTAAAGTGGAAATTGGGAGCGCCTATAATTAGGTCGTGCTTCTGATTTTGCATCCCCGGAGTGCACATAATGCACTTAGGAGTGTACACACGTATACCCCAAGATTGGAAAAGGTGGTGCAGGCCTGTTGGCTTGGGGAGAGGGCGAAGGGTGTTTATTCCCATACTGGTGTCTTGGGGAGGAAAGGAAGGGGAAGAGTTTAGTGACGTGCAGATAGATGCTCTCTGGTGTCCCTCAGAGAGAAGGAGGCTCAGCACCCAAACTCCTCCAGGCTCCCGCTGCCTCCCGAGAGGCCGTCTAAAGGTGGCCGCTGGCCTGGAGCCTGGCGTGGCTTCCCTAGGCAAGCCGGCCCCTGGGTGGGGGAGGGCCTGGATGGGGTGGGAGCCGGGGCCCCGGGGAGAGTGGCCCTTTGAGATCTCCGGCTGGCCCTTTGAGTCCGACTCTCATACCCCTGCCCGGCTGGTGGTGCCTGCCCTGATGCGGTCGGCAGCGCCCCTTCCTCTTCCGTGCTGGGCTCCTGGTTGCTGCTGTTCACGGTCCGGGGCTTGTGACAGAGCAGCCTTGCAGTGTGTCCCGGGCCCCAGACCTCCCCTCACGGAGACTCAGTTCCACCTTTCTCCGCTAGACAATGGACCCTTTCCTCCAAGGCCGACGGACCGACGAGGTGCTTGCTTGGGTCCCTGGATTCCCTCCTGCAGGGTCTCCAGCGCAGCCAGGGCCTCGGTGCGTGCAGGAGAAGCGATGGCACAGTTTCCCTGTTCGTGACAGCATGCTTTTACCCTCTTTAGTCTCTGCGCTGCTCGGGGGATTCTGTATTGAGCTCTTCCAGAGCGGCTGGGCATCTGGAAGAGTCTGGAGGATGATGATTCCCGCTGGGCTTGAGCAGCCGTTGCTCTAGAGGCAGGGCCAGCTGCGTCAGCCACGAGAAGGGGTGCTCTCGTTCACGGGTGGGCTGGGGCGAGGGGGGCAGGCGGGCGAAAGTCCCTTGGCTTTCCTCATCCTGCACGGCGAGTGCAGGTGGGACAGAACCTATGATGGTTTCCATCTTCGCTCGACTGGCTTTTCCTTGGCCAAGCCAGTGAGAGCAGAGCCTCCAGCTCTTTTGAGAGAAGAGTGCGCTGCGGGTGAAGGGGGTGGGGTGCCCCCTCAGCAGAGGCCGGTCTCTGGGCTCTGCTCGGCAGGAAGCGGCTGGCCAGCCGCCCTCTCACTCACCCCGCTTTCCAAAGGTGTTTCCCCCCCCCGTCCCCCTGCCTCCCTCTTTGGAGAAGGGAGACCCTCGGTTAGGTGTGGGCCAGAGGTTGCTCCTTCCTGACTGGGGGGGGGGCGGCGGCAGGGGTTGAGTCCCGTGAGGGCCGCGCAGCAGGTGGGCGGAGAGCCAGGATGGAGAAGGACGCCATTTTGCCCTCGTTCCTTTCCTCAGGAAGAAGGCGCTGGGCCCGAATTGGGGTGCCCTGCTTGGAATCTCAGAGAGGGCAGGCAGAGGTTCGTCTGGATAGCCAGGGTGGTGGGGGAGTCTCCTCTTTCTTCTCTGCAGGCCAAAACATGCTCTCTGGACTCTCCTTGAAGGGCCCTCGGAAGGAGGAGGTCCTGCTGTGGCCACCCCGCCTCCCCACCCCTGCCACCGGCAGGAATACGTCCCGGCCCCGGTGGGCTCCATTTCTGTGGTGCCGCCTGGGTTCGGTTTGTGGCTCTTGCCCAAGTCATGCAAGGAGACCCGGACACGGCCCGGAGATCTGGCGATGCCATCCCTTTGTGGGATTTTTTTTGGGGGGGCGAGAGAGGGAGGAGAGCTGCTGCCCCCCCCCAGGGCATTTGGCTTTGGGTCAGTGAGGAGTAGGTGTGTGTGTGTGTGGGGGGGTATGTGTGCATTTCTGGGGATGGAGGGGCTCCCTTGCCGTGCCTGCCTTCCCCTCCTCTCGTCCCCTCCTTGCTACCCTCTGCAGTTTGTGCCTCAAAAAATGACACCCCCCGCAAAAAAGAAACCTCCAAGGGGGGGAAGAGAGAGAGACCAGGACTGGCATTGAAGGAGCTCTCTGAAGCCCCTGGTCCAGCACGAGATGGAGATACAGCCACCTGTCCTCCTGAAGGGCACGGGGGTGTGTGTGCGCCAGGGGCAGCAGCTGTGAGGAGCCCGGTGGGGTGTGTGTGTGTGTGTGTGTCCCTCCGGCTCGTCCGGATCATGCCTTGTCCTGAAGCTGAACAGGGCCAGGGGGTGCCACTGTTGTGAATCAAGGAACCAAGCATTTGGCGCTTGTTCCTTCCTCTTTCTTGGGCACCTGGGTTCCTGCACGGCCCTCAGAACGGCATCCGCCCGGGCGGGCAGTCGGGCGAGCTGTCGTGCGGCCTCCTTTCCTCCCTCCCCGAGAGAGAGAGAGAGAGAGAGAGCCCTCGTCTCCTGCTTGTGTTTCTAAAAGCGAAATGGAAGGGGGGGAAGTGGAATAAGGAACTTGAGCTGCTTTGAAAATTAGGCCACAGCTGTCGGCCTGAAAGGAGCGCTCGCTTTGCTGAGGAGGCTCCTGGCAGAACCCACTGCGGGTTGACCCCCTTTGGAATGAAGGGAGGACCGTTCGCCTCAAAGGCAGGTGATGGGGGGGGGGAAAGAAACACACCACACACACAGCCCGAGAGGGGCTGGACGTCTCCTGGAGGGGGGGGAAGAAGGAGGTGTGGCGGCTGAAGCAGCCACCGTGTCCCCACGTGCGTGGAGGGCTTGTGCCGTGGCCCTTGGTGGCCCGCTCAGGCTGCCCCGTGGGCTGCAGCAGGGCGCCTGGTTGGGGGACCACCCTTGCTGAGCCCCCTTGTGTGCCCTCCCCACAGAGGAAGGGAGGGGCGCCCACACACACACACACACACATTTCCCCCTCGTGTGGCGGCTGAAGCAGCCACCGTGTCCCCACGTGCGTGGAGGGCTTGTGCCGTGGCCCTTGGTGGCCCGCTCAGGCTGCCCCGTGGGCTGCAGCAGGGCGCCTGGTTGGGGGACCACCCTTGCTGAGCCCCCTTGTGTGCCCTCCCCACAGAGGAAGGGAGGGGCGCCCACACACACACACACACACATTTCCCCCTCCCAGCTGCTCAGATGCAGAAAACAGTCTTTGGCGTCCCTCAGAGCGCAGAGCGGATTTTGTGTTAACCCAGAAGGTGGTGCTGATGTTGCCATGGTTCCCTTC